TGAAAGGCACAGGCTCCAGGCCTTCTCCCTGGCTGCTCAGTTGGGAGGCAGAACAGACCGCAAGGGGTGAAGAGTTTCAACCCCAGCCTGCCCAGGCCCACTTAAGCTCTGGTCTCCAGGCCTGGCCTGCTGCCTCCTAAAAGAAAACCACAGCCCCACCCAACCCTACCCAACCCCACCAAGCCCAAGAGTGGAGGAAGTGGGGTTTCCAGAATCAGCTGCTGGTGAGCACTTGCTGAGTGCCACCAGAGATGGCAGCTGTCTCACACCAGTGTCAGGCCTAACTCAGGGGCTTTGGATCTTGTTTCTCAGTGTGCTCATGCTTCACTGCAACCCAGTGAGATAGGAAAGGCAGCCTTGATTCTTCTCACTTTACAGATGAGAAAATTTGACAACTTTTTTTTTCCAGGAAGAAAAAAAAAAAAATCAAAGACTTGTGTAGGTCACTCAACTAGAAAGTAGATGCAACTTGAAAGCTTGCCTCACCATCATCCATTCATCTTCACATCTCCACGTTTAATCGGCAGAGGCACTGGACACTGCCTCCCTGCCAGGGCCTGCGCTCTACCAACACGGCCACTTGCCCTGTCTAAACCAAAAGCATACGCAGTTAAGGGAGAAAATGGATGTGGAGATGCTATGAATAACCTCCCTGATTCACAGTTAGAGAGGACACTGCTATAATGGAAGATAAGCAAACTGAAACGCTGGCATTCACCTAGACCAAAGGCTATCAAAACTTCACTCTACGCAGCAACCTGGGTACTCTGATGGCCTGCCAAGAGTGGGACCACTGCTGGAGACCACCACCACCTCTCACTCCACTAGTAGAAAAACAGAGGCCCTGGAAAAGGTGGAAATATGCCTAAGGAGAGTGAGTTAATCATGAGGCAGAAGAACCTGAGGCCTTACCACTTCCAACAGTGTCTGCTAGCCCCGAGGGAAATCACCAGAGACCAAGCAGGTGACCAGGCACAAAATCAAGGGCCACAGTGTGAATGACTCCTTAAAATCCTGCTAAGGTGGCCTGAGGGGGAAAACGTAACTAACAGAGGGTTCCTACTCCCTTCTACAGACCAGGGATCTGGCCCCACACTCAATCCCATCCCCAGTGGGAGTCCACCTTCAGTCACCTCACCACCACTGCTTTCCACACCCCTACGACTGCAAGCTCAATCCCTGAATCAGGACCAGGCCTGCCTGGGTAGCGCTACCTGCTCCTGCTTCTAGGAAAGGTGGCTGCCCCTACAGGCCACATCCAGATAGGGGATGGAACATGCAAAATGTCCAAGGACTGACAAGGCAGGGCAGAGACAGGCAGCAGGAGCCTAATCCCCTTCCTATAGGCATCTTAAAGGCCACCAGGACTCAATGGCAGGAAACAGGGATCATCATGCTCTCTGTCCCTCTGTCCAAGCCACCAGGAGTGTTCCCACTAATCACTATGGGTCCCCCCAGTGAGGACAACATAAAGAAGATAAATGAATATGCAGTGTGAACAAGAAATAAACCTCTGTTGCTTTAAGCCTCTGAGACTTGGGGATTGCTGTTACCACAGCAAACCGTGATCTATCCAGACAGACTCAGGCAGTGACTCACCAATCTTCTGCATGTGGCAGTGTTGGTCTTCCCATTCCCTGGCCTGAGGGAGACAGAAGCTACATCGCCAACCAGCAGGGGTTCTGGGGTACCTGCTATGTGCCCAGGCTGTGCTGGACAGATGAGATGTGTTCAGAGGCAGGGACACAAGGGCACCTTCACTGAAAACACTCATTAGTTCCACTGTGGGCCAGGATTGTTCAGTATATGAATCTATTTTAATCACCTCTGAGAGGAACGTATTGTCTAAATTAGAAATGAGAAAACCTGGCCAGGCATGGTGGCTCACACCTGTAATCCCAGCACTTTGGGAGGCCGAGGCAGGCAGATTACTTGAGGTCAGGAGTTTGAGATCAGCCTGGCCAACATGGTGAAACCCCCTCTCTACTAAAAATACAAAAATTAGCTGGGTGTGGTGGCGCACACCTGTAGTCCAGCTACTTGGGAGGCTGAGGCAGGAGAATCACTTGAACCCAGAAGGTGGAGGTTGCAGTGAGCTGAGATCACACAACTGCACTCCAGCCTGGCCGATAGAGTGAGACTCCATATCAAAAAAAAAAAAAAGAAAGAAAGAAATGAGAAAAGCCAGCTCATATTGAGACCTCAAGCAAGTTACTCTGTGACCTCTCGGGACCACAGTTTCCTCATCTGTAAAATGGAGCTGTTGACATCACGGTTGTTTTGTTTTTTCTTTCTTTCTTTTTTTTTTTTTTTTTTTTTTTTGAGAGGGAGTTTTGCTCTTATTGCCCAGACTGGAGTGCAACGGCGCGATCTTGGCTCACTGCAACCTCCACCTCCCGGATTCAAGCAATTCTGCTGCCTCAGCCTCCCAAGTAACTGGGATTACAGGCATGTGCCACCACGCCCAGCTAATTTTGTATTTTTCGTAGAGACAGGGTTTCACTATGTTGGTCAGGCTGGTCTCGAACTCCTGACCTCAGGTGATCCACCCACCAAGGCCTCCCAAAGTGCTGGGATTACAGGCACGAGCCATTGCGCCCGGCCATCACAGTTGTTTTCAAGGATTAAATGAGTTATTACAAGTCAAGCTTCTAGGGTGTAAGTCTCAATAAACTCACTATTAGTATCACTATGAAACCTTCCACATAACTGCTATAATCTTGTCCTTCACTAGATTGTAAACCAGCAAAGTTTTCCCAGGCCTGGTACAATGCCACTTTACAGGCACTGCCAAAACGAATTCTACCTCAGTTGAAGTTAAATGGGTCAAATTCCTGAGCACATGGTAGCCTAGAGTGTGGCCTCAGGAAATAGTTCCAGAACCCAGGGAACGTCACTTCACTGCCACCGCAACCTTCAGGGCAGGGCCATCTCCTCTCCCACTTCATCCTGCCACTTTCCACATGGGAAGGACCCTCACCAGTCCTCAGAGACTAGCACAGCTGCCCAGCTGGTGAAAGGGGACACTTCCCTGGGCACCCAACCATTCTGCAGCTCCATGCCCTTTCTTCCTGGGGCAGCCACAAACCTTCAGAAGCACCCATGGACTCAGACCCCCATCTCCCTGAATGATTCTGCTGTGCTGAGATCAAGCTCAGATCAATAAACACTACTGAGCACCGATGCCACGTCCAGCCTGGGTTCTAAGACCACACCAAGTTTACAGCTGGTGAGGGACTTTCCAGACTTGGAATAGTGCCTGCAACAATGCCTCGCACCCCACAGAAATCTCAACCATGCTTTGTTAAGTAAACTGAGGATGACATTAGGTGGTCCAAGCAGTGGAGTTCAGAGATGCGGGGATGGACATACCCAGAAAGTCTCCAACTGAAGTTGGGGTGCAACACAATGAGAAGCAAGGGGAAAATACATCTGGTGGCCCTGGGTTTCCAGGGCCTGTCACTAACGTTAGGGATCGGGGTGGGATGGGATCGGACTGCATGTGGTGGCTCACACCTGTAATCCCTGTGCTTTGGGAGGCTGAGGTGGGAGGTTCTCTTGAGCCCAGCAATTTGAGGCTACGATCACACCGGCAGCTAAGGGGATAGAAAGGCATACAGGGCCATGATGGTGGAGTCTGGGCTTCATTCTGGGGGTGCCAGGGCCCAGGAAGATCCCTGGAAGGAAGGCCGCCCCCACCAACCACTTGGCTGGCTTAAATGTGGCAAGGACATAGGGCTGCTCCGATGGCCTGTCCCCAGGTTTCCCTTCACAAATTGAGAAGGGTAGCCGGAGCACTCAGCAGGCACTAACTGCTTCCAGACTTCAAGGTCAAGGGGCGAGGGGAAGGCTACTTTTGAGGATTTGGCAGGCCACTCTCTCACTAGCCCAAGAACAACCCCTTAAAGGAGGAGGATCCCCTGGAGAGCAGACCACTGCCAGGAGCACACCTGCAGAGGCTCCAATACTATGCTCTGCACTGCCGCTCAAGACCGCCTGACCTCGCGGATAGCCGCGCCAGGACACCCAAGGAGTGTGTGTGACACCGCCGCACTCACCACCGCTCCGCGCCCAGCACCAGGACAGTACCCGGGCCCACAACTTCCCCCGACTCCCCCTAGCACAGACCGCTTCTCGCCGGAGATCAACTTTAAGTCCCCAACACAAGTGCTCCAGCGGTCCGAGGGCCAAAGTCTCTCCACACACCCTCACACAGGCACTTCCTACCCAACCGCACCCCACCCCTGGGGGTGGAGGAGAAGCAGCAGCGGCCCGGGACCAGCACACTCCGCAGCCACAAACCTCACTCTACCAGAACTCCGGCTAGGTCAAGGGGTCAGGCTTTGCTCCCAAGCACAACCCCACACGACTAACGGGGAGAAGCTGGGTCACCGCCTACTCAAACTCCGGCCGCCCCAAACCCAAGCCGGGCAGAGTGGGACCCACGGCGGCGTGGCAGACTGACCACGACCACGGCGGGGCAGGAGGAAAGGGTGGCCCGCCCCGGCCTACGCCCACCCCCACCCCGGACCCGAGCTCCGGGGGACCGAAGGTGGGTGGCTGAGCCGAAAGGGGCACCCATCCCAGAGCTCGTTGCTGGGGACAAGAAGCAGAGCTCCGAGCAGCAGCGGCCGTCCAGACTTCCCGTCGCCCTCACCCCGCCCGGCCCGGGCGCGCACTCGCCGGGGCGCGCGGATGGGGCGAGGGCTACCGAACCAGGAGTGCCGGCCCCGGGACCGCCGCGGCTCTCGTCCGCCGGGCGCCGGAGTTCGGCTCAGCCGGGTCCCGGCCGAGGCCTCCAACCTCTAGCAAGCGATCCTGGCAGACAAAGCCAGCACCGCCCGTGGGGCCGCTCCCGGGCAGGCGGGGAAGGAGGCTGAGGGGCCAAGCAGGGACCTGGGGAGCAGCCCTCGCCCCCGGAGGACGCTCGGGGAAGTCGGCCTCAGACAAAGAAGGGGGCAGGCCCAGACGCCCCAGCCGAGTCTCCGCGCTCTACTCACCCGCGCGCGGCGGCGGCAGCGGCGGCGCGGCCCGGCTCGGCCGAGGAAGTTAGAGCAAGTTCGGCGGCGCGGGGTGGGAGGGCGCGACTCGGGCCGTCCGAGCGGCGGGGGCGGGGCGCAGAGGGGCGGGGCCGGAGGCGCGGCGCCTGCCGGCTGCCGAGGAAGGGGCGCCGCTTCCCTGCGCCGCCCGGTGCGGCCCCGCGCGCTCGGGCCCGCCTTTGCCCCGCCCCGCCCCCGCCGGCTCGCCCCTCCCCCACCACGCTCCGCCTCCCGGCCCGCGCGGCACCGGGGACCGCGAGGCCGGTTCGCCGGCCCGCCCCTTTGTCCCGCTCTGGGCGGTGCCGGAGGCTCGAGGCGGCCAGGTTCCGCGCCCTCCGTGTGGATGTGCGGCGCAGGCCGGGCCTGGCCCGGGGCCGGGCACTTGTGGCCGCCGGGAGCTCTCTGAGCCGTTGCGCTGCGCAGACGCCGCTCTGGCCTTGTCAGAGCCGAACCTGGGAGAAGCACGAGCTGTGGGAGGCGGCGTCTCGAGGGATACACGGAATGACCGTGGAGAGCGGGCGAAGGATTAGGAAAATGGCTGTGGTGGAGATAAGAGGCGTTCCTGCCCGGCTTTGGAGCCTGGGGGCGGGGGTAGTCTTCAAAAGATAGAAGGGGAAATGGTTTTTATTTCTTTGTAAACCGAGAAGTAAGGACACTCTCCTTCTGGCCTTGGTGCTAAAAATACCAAGCTTTCTTTGGATCGTGGCTGAGATTTGTTCCTCACCTTTACGCTAAAGAGATGGCTGGGACGATTCTTGTAGGGTAGAGGGATTTCCAGGGACAGCCAGGGGCGGCTCCCCAGCCTCAGCCTCCCTACCTGTAGAATGAAGCATGCCACACTTTATTTCTTAAACTTATTCTGTGGCTGAGGGCCGAGTGGTCTGCTCTGTTGGGTAACACCAAACAGGGATCTATTAAAACTGGGCTAAGACTGGTTGCCCCATGCCAGTACAAGCAACCAACTGGTTAATTCCAATAGAAGGAGGAAATCTTGAGATGGAGACTATTCAGTCTATTCCCAGGTTTGTTTGGGTTTGGTTTTTTTTTTTTTTTTTTTTTTTTGAGCAAAGGTATCGTTTTATCACCCAGGTTGGAGTGCAGTGGCATGGCGGTGGCTCACTGCAGCCTCGACCTCCCGCCTCAGCTTCCCAAGTAGCTGGGAGCATAGGTGCAGGCCACCACGTCTAGCTAATATTTTTATTTTAGCTAAATCAAAGAGATGAGATCTTGCTCTGTTGCCAGTGATGGTCTCAAATTCCTGGGCTCAAGCAATCCTTCCACCTCTGCCTCCCAGAGTGCTGGAATTACAATCATGAGCCACTGTGCCTGGCTAATTTTGTTTGTTTAATTAAGGGGGATGCAACCTGTCTGTGACACCCCAGGCAGCTCAGGAACCTCCCTGGGAACCTGTCCGTTCATTCAGCAGATAGTGAGTGCTTGATTGAGTGCCTGATATATGCCAGGCCCTGTGTGCATGGTGGGATACTTCAGTGAACAAGACAGCTGAGGCCTTTTGCCCGATAAAGTTAATTTTTAATGGAGAAGACAAATACATAATTACAAGTTGAAGTAAAAGGCTGGGACAAAAACAAGGGGCTAGAATAGAGAATAAAAGCTACCTAAGATGAAGCAGTCAGGGAAAGTGAGGAGGTGATGCTGAACTTGAAGTCAAGAGTGAGGAGTTAGCCTTGGGAAAAGTTGGGCAGAGACATTCCTCGCTGAGAGCAGTAGGTGCCTTTTCAGGGTAAGTTCTGCATGGGTCAAGGAGCTGAAAGAAAATCAGTGTAGCTGAAGTTTCAAGCCTAGGGGGAAGAGGCCCAGGATGGAGTGGGAAGGTGGGCGGGGGCCAGAGCATGCAGGGCCTGTGGGCTGTGTCAAAGAATGGAGACTTTGTTGAGCCTTGGAAGGGTTTTATGCAGAACACTAACATGTTCTGATTTAAGGCTGTGTGTGGGTGTCAGGCAAAAATAAAAGCAGGGAGCCAATTAGGCTTGCCACAATCCAGGCCAAAGATGATGGTGGTTTGAACCAAAGTGGTGGTCATGCTAAGATGAGTAGTTGAGAGATGCTATTTTGGACTTAACAGGACACATTGATAGGAAGGACATGGGGGCAGGAAATGGAGAAACCAAAGATAACTCAAGTTTCTGGCTGGAGTAAGTGGGTGGACAGTGCTTCATTTATTGGATCAAAAAGCAGCAACCACACTCGGAGTTACATCAGGAATTCTGTTCAAGCCACATGGAGCTTAAGATGCCTGTTAGAGATCCAGTGGAGTTATCTCATCACTAGGAGCTCAGAAGAGAGGCCAGGGCTGGAAAGGGGCTTTGGGATACATCAGCATAAAGATGCTCAAGGTCATGGGATCTGAGAAGGACACACAGGGTGAGGTGGTAGATGCAGAAGAGGAGAGAGTTCAGGAGGGACCCAGGGGAACCAAAGCAGGCAAGAAGACTGAAAAAGAGGCTGGAGGAGGGGGGCAGAAGGAGAATCAGGAGAGTGCTGTATCCTAGAGACTGAGAAAATGTTTCCAGAAAGCAATTGTCAGCTGTCTTAGATACTGCTTAGAGATCAGATAAGATGAGGACTGAGGCCTGTTGGCTCTGGCAAAATGAAGGCAGTTGATGAACATGATAAGGGCGGTGTTCCTGGAGTAGTGGAAGCCAGGCTGTGGTAGAACTACCATGTTTGCACAACTTGTCTAACAGGGAATGGAGAACTGGGAGGGATCTAGAAAGGATATAGAAGCCTAGGATGCTTTGGTAGAGATTGCTAGATGCCCCTAGTAGTAATTCTCTCTTCCCTTCATGATAGAATTTCCAATTCTGTCTGGCCACATGGCTTTCCAGAATAAAGGCAAGTTTCTCAGCCTCCCTTGCAGCTACACTTCATTCCACCTAATAGGAAGTAAGTGTAGAAGTCCATGTGCAAATTCAAAACTGGCTTTAAAGGGAAGTCATGTGCTTTACTCTTTCCTGCCTGGTAGGATATATTGATAGCTGAAGCTCAAGCATCCATATTGGATCTTAAGTGGAAGCCAAAGTGTTGAGGATGTTGGTGGAAGTGAGAATAAATGTGGATCCTAATGTGTAGGGAGCCAGCACACATTTGGACTACCTACCTCTTGACTTTCTTTATGGGAGAAGGACATTTCTGTCTTGTTTAATCCTCTATTTTATGGCACATGTAGCCACATCTGTTTCTAACATTTGTTAGCATAAAGAGGGGTTCGTTAAAATATGGGAGTCGGCCGGGCACGGTGGCTCAAGCCTGTAATCCCAGCACTTTAGGAGGCCGAGATGGGCGGATCACGAGGTCAGGAGATCGAGACCATCCTGGCTAACCCGGTGAAACCCCGTCTCTACTAAAAAGTATAAAAAACTAGCCGGGCGAGGTGGTGGGCACCTGTAGTCCCAGCTACTCAGGAGGCTGAGGCAGGAGAATGGCATAAACCCAGGAGGCAGAGCTTGCAGTGAGCTGAGATCCGGCCACTGCACTCCAGCCTGGGCGACAGAGCAAGACTCCGTCTCAAAAAAAAAATATATATATATATATATATGGGAGTCACTGAAGCAGGCTTGCACAGTGATAGGAATGATCTAAGAAGAAGGCAGGGGCCATGATAGGAAGAGCAGATGAAAGGAGATAGGGTATGGGCACTAATGAGGGTCACCTCCTACAGAGGGACACCTCCACCGTTGTTAAGGAGAGTAGTGTGGAGGCTGAGAGGAGGTTTCTAGTAAAGGCTGGGATTGGGAAGATGATTACTCACACCTGGTGATTTCTGCTTAATCCTGGATGTGCAGGAGGTCATGAGCTAGAACAAGGAGGAAGGAGATGGGGAAGCCAGCTTTGCAAACCATGGACTGAGTGGTTTTGGAGATCTTGCTGGCCCGAGCAGCGTCTGGGAGACGTGTCCTTTCTGGAACAGTTGGCCACACTGCTGCAGGCTATGAAAAGTGTGGTGGAAGTACCCACAAAGCCAGCATGGCCATCCCTGCCATGCCCCGGACAGTCACATCTGACACTCACCTGCCATTCCCAGCTGCAGCAGAGACCCACAAAGCTTTATCTGACCCATTCTTTTTTTTTTTTTTTCTTTTGAGATGGAGTCTCACTCTGTCACCCAGGCTGGAGTGCAATGGCGTGGGCTCACTGCAACCTCTGCCTCCTGGATTCATGGGACTACAGGCACGTGCCACCACACCCTGCTAATTTTTGTATTTTTACTAGAGATGGGGTTTCACTATGTTGGCCAGGCTGGTCTTGAACTCCTGACCTCGTGATCTGCCCACGTTGGCCTCCCAAAGTGTTGGGATTACAGGCGTGAGCCACTACGCCCAGCCTGTCTGACCCATTCTTACAGCAACATGGAGTGGCTTGAGAGAGCCTCAGAGAGTCAAACTGCAAAACAGGTCTATTGTATTCTCCTTTATTAAAAAATAAAAAGAATTCAATATAGACAGCCCCAACTCATAAAAGGGTTGTATTGTAACCAGTGGTTTACTTTCCTGGCTAGCACCTAGAACCATAATTGCCAAGCATATAACTGAATGGTAGTACAGACTGCAAGTCTAACGTACGGATTGTGGGAACAAAAAACAGTACAGGAAGGAGGAAAAGAAAGAAGCTGAGAGTTTTTCTTCTTTTTTCCGGACCTGACGCTGCCACAGATAAAATTTTAAGTGGAAGAGCTTGCCCTTTGTCTTCCCCTGACTTCTTCCATAGCCCTCTTGTGTCGGTCCCCAGTGCTGCACTCTGCAGCTTCTGTGTGTGTTTACAGGTCAGTGGTCAGGTCAAGGTGAGATTGAACAGAAGAGGGAGTTGGTTTCCAAGCTCTCCTAGTTCTCAACATCTTGATCTTGAGCAAACCACTCTACAGTCCTGAGCCCTGCTGTTCTTATCTGTAAAGTCAAGGTAATACTAAAACCCACCTCACAAGCTTGTAATAAAAATCCAAAGAGATAAAGTTTGTAAAACTTCGAAAAATACCGGGTAAGCTGTAAAGAACTCTGTTACCTGGGAAAGATGTCTTATTAGGACCAGACTACCAAGGATTAATCGGGACATTTTGGTTGGAAATGAGAACCCCACTCAGACTAG